GACCGAACGGTTCAATCGCACGCTGGTTCAACGCCTCCGGCACTACGTGGAGGAGCACCAGCGCGATTGGGACGACTACGTGCAGCCGCTGACCTTCGCGTACAATACGCAGGTCCACCGGTCGACGGAGACGACTCCGTTCGACCTGGTGTTAACGCGGCCACCGTCCGGTTTAATTCTCCCCGGTACTGTGCCGCAGGACGCGGGGACCCATCGAGAGGACCCGCGGACCCCGGTGCAGTACAAGCGCGCCACGCTGCGCAAGCTTCGCGACGCTCTCGACCGCGCTCGGACGAAATTATCCGCATCGCAAAAGCGGTACAAGGACGATTTTGACAAGAAAGTCCGCTTCCGTCCGGTGGTTGTGGCGGGCGATTTTGTCTACGTTGATCGCCCGCCCCGCCCGTTGACAAGCGTCGAGCGACGCACGCGTGCGCAAGGTACGGCCGGAACGGACGAGCTCTCTGTCAAACTTCTACCAAAGACAGAGGGGCCGTTTCGCGTGCGCTCCGCTACGGACACCACGGTCCTCATCGAGCAGGACGGTGTGGAGAACCGCGTGAGCATCGACCGCGTCACAAAAATGCCACGCGGGCCGGGGGACACTGTCACCTCGGCCACTCCATCGGCATCGGACGCACAAACCACAACGCCCCGCGCGGAATACGTCGTTGACCGCATCGTCGGACACCGTATGACCCGCGGCGGCATCGAGTACAAGGTTCGCTGGTACGGGTACGTCGCTTCCGACGATACCTACGAGCCCTCCGAGGGGCTCCCGCAACCTTTCATCGACCGATATTGGCGTACGCGCCAAGGACGGACAAGCGCGCTCGCGTAGCGCTTCTTCCGGCCTCGCATGGCCGAACCGTCAGGACGACCTCGCTCGCGCGCGTCGTGCACTGCCGCCCGCACGCGCCAAAAGGAAAAGGCAAGGAACACCGCTAATTGGCTCTGTTTACTGTGGGCGAAGCCCCTAATGGGCTACGCGGAAGGGGGCGACCAACGGGTCGGGGCTCAAGAACGATGCGTGCGCTTAGCTGGCGGAGCCGCCGCGGCGTCTTCGGGCGCGGGGCGCAAGGCCCCGACCGTAGCGGCAGGCATCGGCGGCGCCGCGAGACGTTGGCTGACGACCGCGAGGATGTCCTGCACGCCGCGGAGCTTCTCGTGATGCTCGACGCGCTCACGCTCCGCCGCGGTGGAGGCCTCTCGGAGCGCCGCGACGGTCGTCTCCAGCTGCTTGGTTTGTTGCATCCACGCGCGCGCCTGCAGCAGCGCCTGCTCAACCGACGAAGGAACTGTTGCCCCCTCGAAGGAGCAAGCGTACTGCAGGGCATTGAACGCGGCCTCCTCACGGAGGCGCTCCGGGGAAGACCGGCCGGACGGTTGCGGAGCGGGAGGAGGCGGCATCGGAACGGGACGATGATCGCCTTCGGTACCGGTCACCACGCTGATGTGTGGGGGGCTTGAGGTGGGGGCCGAAATTCCCACGACACCGGGGGGTTCTCTTAACCCCTTCGGTGAGTCGCTCTGGATCGAGGCCACGCGAGCGGATCCGCCGCGGGCCGGTACCGCGGTCTCGACGACGCTCCTCACCGCACCGGTTCCCGCATCGCGCGGCGGCGCGACATCGGCATCGGCAAGCAAGCCGCCCGTGTCACCCGCGTCGACCGTGTCGACTGCGCCGTCCACGTCGACCGCGACGGTCGCGTCCGCTGGACCGGGGGCCGCGCTGCCACCATCGGCACCGGTCTCTGCCTCGGCTCCGGCGGGCATCGGTAGGGTACACCGCTGGTTCCAGCTGAACCACGCGAAGTCCGGCCGGCCGCCCCAATCCATACCCTCGGTGAAGGCCAACAGCTGCGTCGCGTACGCCGCGTCAAACGCCGTACCCTCGAGGATCTCCGCGATACCGACCGAGCGGATTAAATCGATGAGCCCCGCCGAGAGGCAGAAGAGCAGGCCGCGCTCACCGAACGGTTCCTCGCGCCGCGCGATCAGCCGCGGGTCGGCACACTTCGTGAAGAACGGCAGTCCCTCGCGAGCGGCGTGCAAGAAGCACAGGAAGGCCAAGACCGCCCATTCGGAAAGCATGATCGCGTCCACTAAGACGCGCGTTCGCTCCGTTTCCGCGGATTCCGATCGGCCGAGCGGCAACCAATGCGCCGCCACGTACGCCATGACGCTCGGCGTCGGTACGCACAGATACTCCGGCGCCTCGAACGTCGACCAGTTCGGCGGGAGCGCGGGGTACAGGCCACGCCGCGCGGCGCTGGGCACCGAGAAAAACTCGGTGCTGTGCCACATGTGGAAGAAATCGTCCACCCGGCGCCACCGCAGCCGACTCTCGCGCGCTGCGTCCTCACCCCACCGCGCTCGGTTCGCAACGCTGTACCAGCTGTCGAAAGGCCGCGGAAAGGCCACCAAGCGGACGTCGGGCGCGAGGCCCTCGTAGCGGCGATACCGACCGAGGAGGTTCAGCAACGAGATGTGGTACCTTTCCTCGCCCTCGCAGCGGACGTAGAGCAAGTCACTGCCCGCCGCGGCCGGCGTCCGACACGGAGCGTGACGCCACCGCGCCTTCCACGCGCCGGCGCGGTTCTCTTGCGCCACGGCACCGCGTCCGGACGGAGTCTTGATCGCGCGCACCATCGGAATGGCCGCGAACCTCGCCGCGTCTAGCAAGTTCCGCTGAACGTACTCCTCGACCGTAAGCGGAGGCTTGCGGCCCGCAGCGCGTCGGCGTGCGCGCCGCCGGCGGTGGTCCATCGAGGATCCGGGCCACAGCAACCGTATGGAACCGACGCCGCTGCGCAGCCAGCCCGGGGTACTCGGGGCCGTGAATACCCGCCCCAGCGACGTTGTCGCTCCCCGTCCGGCCGGCGCAAGCGCTACGCTACTCGACGGCGCCGGCGCCGCGTACGGCGCCTCGGAAGCGGCCCTTGTGAGCGCCGTACCCGCAGCGGGCAGCGGCGACATGGGAGGCGGCGGCAGCTCCACGGGGAGCTCCGGGTCCGCCTCGACCATTCTTGGAGCCACGCCCACGAGGGGCAGCGGCGAGGACTGTGTTGCTTGGGCGCCCAGCGGTGGCGGAGCGACCGGTACGGGCGAATCAATTGGCGCTTGCGCGGGCCCCGCCACTCCAGTGGGCGGTTGCAGGCCGTCGCGAAGGCGTCGCCGCGGTTGGAAGGTGGGACCGACCGGCGTCGCTGCCGGAGCCCGAGGCGGGCTCAACGGCTGCCTGTACGCGCGCACAGCCGGAGTGTTGCGATGACCATCCATCGGTTGAATGAAGAGCCGCTGTAGGGGAATGTCGTCGTCGTTGGCGGAGGAGGTTTCGGAGTTCGCAGGGGAGTGTTGGGGAAGAATTGGGGGGTCAGTGTGGATCGCATGGGGAGAATCGGAACACGCGCTCTCCGAATCGGACGAACTCGCGGCGTTATATACCGCCAGCTCGCTGACGAGCCAGGGGGCATGATCGTCCACACGGAGGGGCTTCTGTTCCCGCATCGTGCGCGATAGAAGGAAACGTCCGGAACGGACCCAGGCGCTCGAGTAGAGGGTCGCTACGGGGACGTAGCGAAAGCTAAGGGGGGAGGTCTGTAGTATAATGACCGGCGCGAGCGCGTGGAGGTCACCGGACGGCCGTATACGGTATACACGTGGGCGGCTGTGCCCACGTGTAGCGAGCGCGCGCGCATGCCGAGCGGTCGTAATCTGGCGTACGTGTACAGTAGTGCACGTGTCGTCCGAGCGGTAGTCTACGCGTGTTACGTGTGCGCGTTAGCACACGTGTCGTCCGTGCGGTAGTCTGTAAGCAACACGCGTGTACAGTAGTGCACACGTGTAGTAGCAGCGTCCGTGCGGTAGTAGCAATTATGGCGCTAGTTTTTTAATTGTGTACAGTACCCGGTACGCACTAGGCGGCAGGTACTGTACTACTGTACTGGGACAGGTGTCCGAGGCGTCCCTCTGCGGGGTTAAGACCTGGCACCCGTCCCCACCAGTAAACGGGGGCAAGCTCGCCCCCGTCCCTTTTGCGCCTACGTACGTCCGTTTTCGGTTGTCTATCGCGCGCGCTGGCTTCTAACCCGTTACTGGTCGCTTCCGTTCACGCACCACGGGGCGACTGCGCGTAACCGGCCAGTGAGCCACTCCCTTTTCGCGAGCTCGTCCGATCGGTTCAATTAGCGCGTCGCGTCCGCGCCGCGTGCTCCCTCTCTAAAGCCTCCGCCTCTCACCCAACCCAGGGCGGAGAGGAGTTATCCCACACCGTCGTCCCAGTGCAAACTCATCTTGTAGAGGCGAGAGGGGAAGCGATGGTGCGGCCGAGGATGTCGCAAAAATATGCCAAAGCACTACTGGATCTGGTGGTGGCCGATGAGCAGTTAATGCCTCGGTTTGGGAGACAAAGGCTTATTGAGAGCTTGAAAATAAGCAATGATGCCCTTGCGGAGGATTTTCCGACCGACAAGGCAATTAGGAACAAAGTGGTGTCGCTGCGGCACCAAGGAAAGCATAATGCATAGTCTATGGTAAATGGTGTGGATTTGAAAGGTATAAGATAGCTTTTCTGGTCAGGAACTGTCTGCCGGGGAGACACATGCTTTGTGGTGGTGTTGAGTATGAGGGTGAGCATAAATGCAATAAAATGTATATTTTTATCTAGTCCATTCGCGCCAAACGAGCAGAAAACGGGACCTCACCAGCCCTTCACGTGCATGCTAAATCCACGAGAAAATGCGATTGCCATTATCACCTGATTCAGAGCTTTATTGGGATACCACAAACGGGCTGAAAGCTTTGGTTCCGCAGTTTTCCCACAGGTTCAGATTGTCTCAGATCGGCCGTTTTTTGTGCCCCTTTTTAAAAAAATTACGTGTTAAACAGGCGTTTTGGTTTCGAAGATATCAATACAAAACGTTTTGAGCTTGGTCAAAAAGGCTTGTTTTTTAGGCATTCTAAAACGGCTGGAAAAGATGTGCAGATCTCACTAAATTCTATCCTTCCGCATCGCATAAGTCACCTGCTGTGGCGAGAGTATCTTTTTCCTTCTTGTTGAGCAAGCACAAGTCGAGAGAAAATAAGTTGAAAAGTAGACTCACATGTGGTCAAATGGCCTCACATGACGTCACTTCTTCCCTAGACACACTAGCTTCCCGCGTTGGAGTGGATAGCAGTAAGGACTCGACTATTCTCGAGGCAGTGCTCGAACACGTCTACAGAGTCCTTCTACTGCCGCAAGTGGAGAACTTTATCGCTCCCACTTCTAGGGCCAATGCAAGCGTGAACCTTCAAAACGACCGAGAATGACAGCCGCACCCACTGGAAGAAGCATTGGTGGCAATTTGGGAAGTTGGAGAGGCCCATAGCGCATTGGGCGATACAGCGGATCAATTCGGAAGCGTGTACAAGATTGGGGCTCTGGAGTTCGACAACTGCAGTTGTATTGCGATGCGCGCAGTTTCGTCTTGTGTGCCTTGCAGGCTGACACGCGTATCCTTTTTCGATAGCATCACAAAGGCTTCGAGGCATGCGGTTGGTGCAGTCTGATAATTCGATGATTTTGGGTCTGTCCCTGCCGCCACATAGCTACCAGGTGATAGGAGAGGCCGAGGAAAATGAGCTGATTGATACAACTTGCTGCTGTTGCTTTACACGTTCTTCACCATGTACGGTCCTTGAAGAACATATCCGAGCTTTCTGTAATAATGGCGCGTTCCAACTCCAGATATAACGACAACTTTCGTTGACCCATGCTCCTCTGCGGCTATTCTCTCTGCTTCTTCCATCAGCAAGGTACCAAAGCCGCGATGTTGAAACTTTCCGGGGTCCCGCTCATGCACCGGCACAACGGATCCATATACATGCAACTCGCGGACAATGCTGCATTCCTCACCTGCCATTTCAGGTCTGACTGCACCGGCACCCGGCCCAGCCTGCCGCAACCGCAGAAGAGCGACAAGAATATCCTGAGCCGCATCCTCATATGAAAGGAAGGTCTCCCACCCCCCATTTGCAACGTAATCTCTGCGCACGAGTTCGACCTGCTCGGGGTTAATCTGGAAATGAATTGTTTGGATTCCCACTTCACGTGTGCGCACATCGCGACAGGGCAGACCGAGGTCGTGCATGCGTGCCAGTGAAAGCTCACGCAAGTTTCCGTGTTCCACCCCGGATGAAACTAACGGCATGGGGATGTCTCTTTGTATTCTGTACACGCGCACCCACGGTGGCACTAGCGCGAGGATTCGTGCGATAAGGTCGATGAGGTCTGGCGGAGCGTAATTCTTGTAAAGACCGTTCTTCCACAATTCGTAAAGTCCAGTGCCGCGAATGACGAGCGTAGGATATATCTTTAGCCCGTCTGGACGGAAAGCTGGGTTGTCGAAAAGCTCTCTGAACGACTCCATGTCCCTTTCCTTCCCCATATTTGGAAGATCCGGCATCATATGTGAAACAACCTTAAAGCCTGCATCCTTTGCGAGACGGAAGCAGTCACTCACTGCTTGCACCGAATGCCCTCTGTTCGTATCCCTCGCGACGTCCTCATAGACACTCTGGACGCCAATCTCCAATCTAGTACAGCCGTACTCTAACATAGCCGACAAGTGGTGCGGGGAGGAGTGGTCCGGGCGGCTTTCAATTGTCAGGGCGACGCACTTGGCATGCGAGTGTTCCGAGTACCTGACAGCCTCTTTGACAGACTGCGATGAATGCCCACTGAGAGCATCATGCAAGTTTCTTATAAAGTAGTCGCGGTAGGTATTATCCAACGACATGAAAGTGCCCCCCATGAGAATAAACTCGACTTTGTCTACATCATGCCCCAGCGCACGCAGCTGATCAACCCTTGACCTAACCTGGACATAAGGATCGTATCGGGCCCTAATGGCGCGCATAGAAGTGGGCTCATATCCTGTGTAACTTTGAGTGGAGTACTCAAAGTCAGAATCCGGACCTCCGGGGCAGTAGACGCAAATGTTTCCGGTGGTAGCGATATGCGGGCAGCGATGCGGCTTGGACATGACGGCAACGACAGCGATGCCGCTCGCCGTGCGCACGGGCTTGGCGCGCAGCAACGGGGCGAGAGCGGAGCGATGCGCAGGCGGCACGGCGGCGAGGATGTCGACCTGCTTCGGGTAGTCGGCCAGGCCGTGGCGCTTCGCCGCGGCCGTCTTGATGGATGTGACGGAGGCGGCGTTTGGCGTGGCGTGCAGACGGATGAGAGAAGAGACGATCTCAGCGATGGCGGCTTTCTTGGCAAGGGCTTGGTCCGCAGCACGGCGCGGGCGGCGCGGCGCCGGAGTAATGCGCCCCGTTTTCTCTGAGGCGCATACACAGGATGTGCCGCTTTCTGCGCCGGCCGCGCAGGCGCAGACCGCGTCCCCTCTTGCCATGGTGGAAAGCTGCGTAACGGTGATGGGAATTCGCAGCGGAGGCAGACGGGCGGGGATGGAGTCGAGGTGGGAGGAGGGGCTCGGTAGGCGTTCAGGCACAACGTGATGCAGCGGCGCATCGCTGGACGACGTCCGCCAGCCGGCATTCATTACGTCTCTGGTGGGACAAGGTATGATACGACAAAACAAGCTCTATTCTGTACAATCAATCGAAGCACGCCAGGTGTACACACAATCCGCAAGCCTGTACGCCTCCTGGGGTTGCATCTCCAACCCTCAGCCCGGACATTGAAGCTGCCGTCCCAACGCCTTTCTCATCCACAACCCTGCGACAACATGGCGGCCTTCGTGGCCAACAGCACGCTGCTGCTGCAGAGAAGCGCCTTGCGCCGCGCACCCCTCCGCCGCGCGCGCCACCTCTACAGCCAACCGGGCCCGCAGACAAGGACGCGCGCCTCGCTGAGCGTCGCACATGCCCTGCCCGCGCTGGCGTCCCTCCCCACCGCCCTGCCCCTCGCAGAAGCCTCGCTCGCCCTCTCCGCGGGAAAGATTCTGGCGGGCCCGGGCATTAACCTGTTCAACTTTGTCATGGTCGTGCGCATCATTCTGTCCTGGTATCCCAAGACGGATCTCGCCAAGCCGCCGTGGATCTATATCGCCGTCCCGACTGAGCCGCTGCTTAGCGCGACCAGGAAGATCATTCCGCCAGTGGGGGGAGTCGATATTTCCCCCATCGTATGGTTCGCGATCATGAGCTTTGTCCACGAGATCCTCGTCGGACCGCAGGGGTTGCTCGTTTTGCTCGGCCAGAAGTGAGGTAAAATTGGCGGCGCATTGCCCGTGGCTTTCCTCGGCTTTCCATTTCGCTCAATCCCCAGATTGTCAATTTCGTTTCGTTTCGTTCCTTTTTTTGCAGTTGTTTTTGGATACAATTGCTGTTCTCACTTTCCTCAGAGAGATTTGTTTTCCTTTAGTTCGCCCTTGCCGCGCAAGTCCTCTCCCCTCCGTCCCAGATTCTTTGCATCCTCCCGAAAACCTCCCATCCCCCTCACAATGACGACGAATCTTAGCACCCTTGCCTTCGCCTCTCCCACCATCTGCCCCCGCAGCACCACCTTCGTCACCACAACACCCTCCAAATGCCCACCCCAACGTCACAATCGCGTCGCACGCCGCCTGCGCACCCCGCTGGCCGTCTTCGACTTTGTCCGACGTGCAGGTCAGGAGCAGAAGAAGGCTCTCGAAGCCTTGCGCGAAGGAAAGGGAATTGATTATGTACGCGACAAAGTCAAGCGCGACATCGACGAAGTCCGCAAAGTCAACGACGGCCTGAAGAAGTCCCGCGAACGGCTCGCACGTGATTTGGCAAACATCGTTCAGGGGGGGAGAATTGAGGAGCTGGAGGAAGTCCTAGAGGAGTTAGAGGAGGTCCTCATCACCTCAGACTTGGGCGTCGACACGGTCGATAAGATTCTTGACGACTTGCGTGCAGAGTCCAGAGCTCAGAGGCTCGAGAAAAGGGAGGATATCAAGAATGGGCTTAAGAAGAGTCTTGTCCGCATTTTGGAGGCGAAGAGCAATGTGGGGGTCGCTCTGGCGAAGGCGGAGAGTCCTCCCACCATTATCATGGTCATCGGCGCTAATGGCATGGGGAAGACCACAACCATTGGCAAACTAGCCGCCCGCCTGCGGCAGGACGGCTCAAGCGTCCTGGTTGCGGCTTGTGATACTTTTCGAGCTGCCGCAGTAGATCAACTAGAAGAATGGGTGCGTCGAGCGGACGTCGATATTGTAGTGCCCAAGCCGGAGCAAAAGAGCCCGTCGGGCGTCTTGTTCGGGGCCGTGGAGAAGGCGTTTGAAGGCAAATATGACTATTTAATTGTTGACACCAGTGGTCGGTTACATACCAACGCTAACCTCATGGGAGAGCTTCAGAAAATGGTCCGCGTCGTGTCCAAGTTTAAAGAGAATGGGCCAGATGAGACCCTCTTGGTGGTCGATGCGTCTATTGGGCGGAACGCCGTCGCGCAGGCGGATACATGGAAAAAGGAGGTGGGGGTCACGGCTCTGGCTGTCACAAAATTGGACGGGACTGCCCGAGCGGGGTTTGTTGTATCGTGTGTGGACGAATTGGACATTCCCGTCAAACTGATCGGCGTCGGCGAGAGCATTGACGATCTCCGGGACTTTGACGCCGAGCTTTTCGTGGATGGGCTCGTAGGGTAGCGTAGGAAACAGTCCTTTGTGTGCAAAGAACGACACAAAACCTCAGGAAGACCCTGACGAAAATTATTGTGAGAACGTCTTTGGTCGTCCTTTTAACCAATTGGGCCTTCTACCCTCTCAGACGTAGAAGATACTGGGCAGCTTCAGCTGTCGCAGGTGTCACATTCTTGAATGAGTCCGACGTATTGACACCTGACGAACGAACTTCTTCCGAGCAACACTCTGATGGGCACCGCGAAAACTGCATTGACAAATCCTTCTTTCCGTCCACAATCGGGGGCAAGTCTAGAGGACGTAGTATTCGCTTGCAATAGCCAGACTTCGTTGCTGTCTTGAGCCCGACGCGATCAAAAAAGGATGTCGGGGATTGCGGCCCATCGCACTCATCCACAGTCACCTGCGAACTGCTGGCGACGAGGCAGTCGTACTTGTCTTCTGTACACGAGTACAAAGAGATCTCGTCACATTGAGAGGCATACCCGGACTGCACCAGGAAACCCTGCTCCTTCATCTCTCGAAGCGCGTTGGCCGCTAGCTCCTTAAGCACCTCCTTTGAGCTCTGTGAGCGTCTCTTCTTTCTTCTTGGACTTGTACTCGGCGCTGTGTCAGTGGGCAACGCCTGCGAAGAAAGCCTGTGCGACAAAGCACTTGCTGCCGGAAGTGCATGTTGATACTTTCGTTGCTGCCGTGATGATCTTCCACTGGAGGTTTGTCTCGACTTCCGCGGCGCCATTGCTTTCTATAATGCGGAAAATGCGATCCCTCGACAGCAAAAGAAGAAGAGCCTAGCCCCGTTGGAATGAGGCCGACAAGGGATATTGCTGCCGTAGAAAACTCGGCAGGACTCGCAGACGAGCTACAGGATGCATGTGAGGCATTGTGAGTTCAAATCTGGGCCAAATGGCGGGAATGGCACGAATTCAAAAACGTAAAAGATTGCGCCTATTTCGACCTGCTGTGTCCAAGAATGCCGACAGATGAGCAAAAAATTTATTCGAAGTATCGGCCGCACTTTTTGGCGCAAGCATTCGCTATCTGTATCGGCACGCTATGCAGGTGCGATGACGATCCGGCTTTCCCCTTTCAGCAAGGCCAATAGCAGAAGCTGGAGTTTTATTTGTTGAGCTTGAGGTGTTAAGATCAACAGATTACACGTACAGTTAAAAAGAACTCATTTCCGAAATTTGCATGATTGCAGTTCAGGACGCTCAAACTCTAAGAGCCAGCCGACGCTCGCATTCCACAATATCTGCACTACAATTAGATTCTTGAGCAGAAGAGCCAACTGCATGCCGTACTGTAGAACGGATCCAATCCGAAAGCAAGATAAAGTTATCCTAATGGCGGGTATGAAGTCTGCCATGAGCTTGCAACACAATGCTGACAATATTCCCGAAGTGCCCTCTCGCCGAACTTTTTCACGATTTATTGTCAGCTCGATGGCTTTTTAGGAAACGCCTCCCTCCCTGGCTCCAGAAACGGTACAGGCAATCCTCATAGTACCGTCAAACTATTGGATATCCAGTATGCTGACACAGCGTTTTCATCAGCTTCACCCAAAACGAAGTTGCTGCTTTCTTGGACGAACTGTTGCAATAATGTTAAGCTTCGATCTTATGCCCCTTCAACCACTCTATTCAATATTCACCAATAACTAGAAACTGCCTGGCGTGACCAGTGCACATCCTAGACCGAATTGCACATTAAAGTGGTGATGATGGTAGAAAGAAACATGATCAGTTATCGCAGATCAATATATTCTCTCTCATGACGTGTAGTGAAAGTAGTTGCTTTATTCGATCATGCCGTAACCCCAAAGAAAGTCCAACCCACTCGTCTTAGCTGTTTTGCAGAGCGACTTTCCTTGCACGCTCGTACACTAAGCCAACACCAAACCTGAAGCCAAATGGTTGAAAGAGGAGATTATGAAGGCACTGCTCTCGTAGAAAGCTCAATTGATGCTTCTACCTCAATTTCGAACGCCGAGGTTCATATTTCTACACCGCAACTTCCGTGGTTCAATGAAATGACGTTGCCACATGCTGGCTTCAATCCGCAAACAGAGACTGCTTACATCGATCCATTAAGCAGCGATGGAATGATTGATTTCACGAAAGGGTTCGAGAGGGAGGATGATGCAACTATGGGCCGTTTATTAGCGATGGAGTCTGTTCTCACCGAGCGCGATGAAATCTCCGCTTTGCAACAGATCCAAAGCCCAGTAACTGTTGAGGCTTCGTGTAATTCTCCTGCGACGAAAAAGCATGAAGAAGCCGCTCTGGTCGAATCTGCTTCCAGTGTATCTCACGCCGAGTTACTGGCTTCTCTCCAAAGTAATTGCTTTTGGCAAGGCGGCAATACACAGCCTGAGGTACCACAACCAGCTACTTTTCATGAAAGGAAACAGCTTCCCTTCGTCCCACCTCCCAAAGAAAAACCTGGAAGACACCCAACTGCTTCGCAAGACTTTGTTGATCTATCCTCTTTGGTAGATGCATCCCCTGAAGAAGTACGAAAATTGTTTCGAGCATCAAGAGACGATGTGATGACGCAAATCAATTTATATTGGGTTAATTACCGCTACCTTCTCAAGACCATGGAAGAGAGAATACACAAAATCCTTAATGACAGAGGGGTGAAGATTAAAAGAAGAAAGCGGATGGGACCTGAGGTTCCAGCTCTAGAAAAAAAGGAGATTCGTGCGCAAAGAAATCGTGAAAGGAGTCAAGCACTTCGCAAGCATCAAAAGCAACGGTTGGCATATCTCGAAGGCTATGCAGAGCAACTGAAAGTATACAATTCTGCTACAAAATCCCTGATAAATTGTGTATTAGAGGACGAAGCGATGCTTCCTTTGTTGCACGCCTACTTCACTGAAAACGAGTGCAGTGAGAGTCTTCTGTCTTTCTTGAGCAATGGCAAATGAGTCCTGAAGTTCGAGAATGGTGTGTTCCCTGTCCCATTATTCTTTTTATGTATTCTCATCAGCAACAACACAATAGAAAACGAACATGGCATGTAAAGTAAAATGCCGCCTACCGCCTTCCTGCTGGAAGATGCAAACACTTATCTTGTCCCACTGAGAAGTTTGTAATGTAAATTGATATTTAGTATCGATAAAGTTGATTCTGTCCACCTGTGGTTTATTTTCAGACAGAAAACATATCTCGCAGTGAACAAGCACTTTTCCTAAATGTCGATGAAGCTCCCTTGGTAGAAGATGTTGAAATCGTTAGCTTCGATAGCTGTTGGAATACAGCGTGGGTGAGGGGGAGTGGGGCAGGGAATTATTTCTAGTTGCAGATGTACAAATGATTGAGTGCAGCTTCTTAGCATCTTCATTGATGTGGTCAGCACAGCAGTTACTGCGATCGAAAACGGCACACAGCAACTGCAGCGTACCTTTTTCGATCGGCAATCTACATTTCAGTGAGCCAATTGTCGTGTTCTGTAAGTACCGTATGCTGTCCCTGTGAATGTACTGAGGCAATCACAATCAACTAGAAAGTGTAAGAATTCGCTCACTCAAAACAAACAATCCTCAACACATTAGCAGCTGTGTTCGTCCGCTGTGAGAGGCATGGTGCATAGAAAGTACCTTTGTACTGTGTCATGAAGCGTTGGTTGACTGAAAGAACATGTACAGGATACTAAGAGGGCGCGGAGCGATGCGGAAATTTTCTTAGTCCACTGCACTGTAGTAGAAAAATCTGAAACGGCCAATTATGGGCCGCCGTGCTTCGCATCCTCAACGACGACACACTTCGATTGCGAGCACAAGCTGAAAGAGCCTGTATCTATTTCATTTTTGAGTACAGTACTATACTTGCTTTTCATCTGGCGGAGAATTTTGCGCGAGCTCAAGGCCTGACAAAGACCATTGACGAGTACGTGGTCCTAGCCAACGGTGCATTGTGCCATCTGTTTGTATTGAAAGGACCAATCGTCCACTTGCCAGCTCGTTTCAAACGCACGACTTGAACGACAAGCGCCGCACGAGCCCAGATATTGTGACGATCTGCAATTCCACAAAACCTATAAGTTCAGGGGAGCTCATCTTCGAAAGGATATATATTGCACAGACTCAGAAGCAAATCGCAAGTGGTCGATTAATTGGTATCGCCACCTTCTCACTGGTCTTCGTATAGAACTCAAAATGAGCGATTTGAAGATGGACGAAGGTAAGCAACAGTTTGAACCCATCAAGCGAAAGAAGGTTGAGATTCAAAATGTAAGAACCCCGCTGGAATTCTAGTAACATAAGCTTCTTGATGTATTTTTACTATGTAAAGACACTAACTTCCCATTCATTACGCCATGGACAGCTTGCAATCGGGTCAGCGCTGCAATTATTCGAGGTTTCGACGCTAGGACAGCCCTTTGAGAATATGAAGACGGTTATGGCAGCGCATAGAAGCGACACATTGACTGAAGCATGCCGGAGATTGTACGCAACCCGCGGAATTCCTTCCTTCTGGCAAGGCCTAATTCCTTGGGCATGGATCGAAGGAGCCACAAAAGGTGGCGTTCTTCTCTTCTCTCAAAATGAGATCACGATATCAGCCAGAAATGCTGGGCTTGGCACGTTGTGGGCAAGTGCCTTGGGAGGTATTGGTGGCGGAGTTTGTCAAGCGTACACAACCATGGGATTTTGTACATTCATGAAGACTGTAGAAGTGACTCGGACGAAGGGGGTTGGATCCAGTCATAAGAGCTCCATTTCTGTTGCTGCAGATGTCATTCGGAAGGAGGGTATCCTAGGTATGTATAAGGGCGTCAACGCGGTCGCCTTGCGACAGGCAACAAACTGGGGATCTCGATTTGGTTTTTCTCGAGTCATAGAAAACTTGTTTCTTGGTCGAGAGAACGATCGGGTACTATCAAAAGGAGAGCGTCTTCTGTCCAGCATGGTAGGAGGAGGCTTAGCGTGTTGGAATCAACCAATTGAGGTCGTACGGGTCGAAATGCAGAGCATGGCCAAAGCTGCTGACAGACCAAAATCAATGTCCATTGCTAGCACAGCGAAGTATATTTACGGGAAAGATGGCATCCGCGGTTTCTACCGTGGGATAGTGCCCCGCATAGGTCTCTCCATGTACCTAACTAGCGTTATGGTGTTCGGCGGTGATGAAGTTAGACAATACATGAAAACGATGGAATAAACGCACAGCACAGGCGTTATGCACTGGTCTGACCCTAGCAATGTAGAAAGCGGCGACCAGCGTTGAGGTCCTCAAAACAGTAGCATGTGTAGAATCAAATCGAGCACACTTTACTTCACGAATCAGCCCCTCTGGACTACTTCCGATGTGTTGAACCTAGATGGAGAGAATACCTGAAGGTCATAAGCGCATGCAGTCCCTCGCCCGTCGGACATTACCTGATATGATAGGCAGAAGCACACAATCTCAGCCCTCCATACACTGAAAGCGGGAGCACATGACTCAAAAAATACGGCAATCCTGCATCGCCCCGCTTCGGCGCGCGCCTAACAACATGAATTGACAACAATCCCTCTTGGTTGCGGAAATAGCCGTGCTACTGCGAAGCAAGCTTTTGCTTCTTATGTTGCTTGACCACCTTCTTCACGATCTTCTGTTCCTCTAACAGGAAAGCGCGAACGATCCTAGGTACCGAAAACAAACAGCAACAAGCGAGCAAAGAAACCGTCAGAAATGCGCTTTGACTCAGGTTATCCGATATCACGTAACGCCGTCTCTGGCAAATGCATCTGTGCTGCGAGGGAAATCGCGGCATATTGTACTCAGCGGGTTTCCCCATATGTTCAAGGGAATCCGAGAAACCAATCTTCCGCTGCATATCGAGAACGATGTTCGCACACAATGCTAGAGTACATACCTGTTCCTTACTGCGTAACCAGATAAAACGCCACCGTAGCACCTCGACACGGACTTTTGTCTCTTGGACATACGCTTCAGTTCTTTCGGGCGAGCAACAGCGACACCGAAGAGTGGTCTGCCAGTGTCACCGCATTTCGGAGTGCTCGGCAGCTTCTTCAGATACTGAATCGTGAGCTTGCCACCAGGGGTACGCACTCTGTTTTAGTCACGGTGAAGTAACATTGAGATGAGTTAGATATGCATTTTTCACAGGACATTTGCACGCGCATTCGCTCTTCACAACTGCTCACATTGACGGAGTATAGTGGACCTAGATAGCTTCTCGAGAGCCGAACGCATTGCGACGGGAAACGATCTGGAACACATACTTCTTGAACTTGTTGCTCCTGGTGCAGAAGGGGCTCTTGCGCCTCAAGGTAACACGCGCGTCCGGCATGATGAGTAGTTGGGTTGCAAACGCTGCTTCGAAGCGCTATTGACGTCAGAAAAGAGAGTTAAGCAAGGGAGGACGTCGGCACTAGCATTAGAGCGGGTCGATCTACGCGCCGCGGTGTGCATCGCCGGCGACGAAAATAATCACTCAAATTGTAAGAGTTCGACATGAGTCGGAAGGAGTTTGATTTTCCGTTAAAATTATAAGTTTGTAGTTTTGGCTAGTTTCTCTCAGCGCGCTAAGAAGCCAGAGCTCGTTTTGAGTAATATTGGATCTTTGATCTTTTTTCGTCAATCTTTGATTCTTGATCAGGCTGAAATCTTAGCGCACATCTGGGTCTGGTCTCGCCTCCGAACCAGACCTCTCGGAAGCCCCTTCATGTGCTCCTTCCCCTCTCTCACAGGCCCCGGTGTATTTATTTTGACTCTAATTGCACTTTTCTAAAAAGCGACGTGTTGTTTCTATGTTAACCGGCTGCTTACTTGCGATGTGCCCCCGACCCTAGGTTTTGGATTCTGCAATGGGGAAGAACACATCCTGATGAGAGTGTTATGCCCTTACCTCTCGTTTTCAGGAAGGTCTTATATAAAGCTCATCGGAGAACACGTGAAAAATCTTATTTCTGTGACATCCTCGAAGCCCAGTACTGCCAAATAGATTAAACTCCCGACGTGAAGTTTGGAGCTCCATGAATTATTAGGGTTTCAGCGCAGATGTTTCCCTGGTGTTCATCACGAGATTGATGCCGAGCATATATACGCCTAAGAGATAAAGACAACTTAACCTTGTACACGTCATACGATTAATTTTTTCCTTTGTTCCTGCTTTCATGGAGCAAAATACAAGCTTTGAAACAAGAGCTTGAAAAGAAGTCATTGATACCTGGACAAAAGAACTATTTCGGCTGAGGTTTCCATACGCACGGGGTAGTGACCTGGTGCTATTGAAGTGAATTCTTTACACGAAATCTGATGATGCAAAGCTTGCATGCAAACTAGATCATTTGCACAGTGTTCTCAATGCTGTGGCTATCAGAGCATGGAGTGCTTTTGTAGAGAGTCAATGAAGAATTTTTGATCCGAATCGCGTGCAGCAATTTTTGAAGTGACTCGGCCCCAGCCCTCAAAATTGAAGCTGGTCGAGAAATCTCGTCCACCCATCTGAAGCACATATTGTTGTGGTTGAACTTAATGATGATACGGGCTCATATAATACAAATACTGCTGAGTTGCTATGAGACTATGGTATGTAGAACAGGCAGTGACTTCCTTGTATGCGCCAACGAAGTGTCAAACTTTTAAACGGGTAGTCCCTCGCTATTCTTTCAAACTCACGAAGGGAACATCTAGAAAACTCGAAGAGTAATACAGTTCAATGCTGCTTTGCAGAAAGAAGTGTGAAACAGATGAGCGAAGTAAGACAGTAGTGGTGCTCAAACCTAGTTCTGAAATTCTAGTTCTAATTCTGAAAAGACGCTTTCTCGACCAATCACAGGAGTTCAGCACTTTTTCAGAAAATAAAATTAACCCCCAACAGTGATTCTTACTTGTCGCCTGAATCAAGCAGCTGTAATTCAAGAACACGCTCTGATTGGCACAACCTTCACGCGGTTGACGCTCTCGTACTGTTACTTCAACAACTGCTGTATCTGTTTCGGTCTATCGTGGCGCGAACTGAAACCGAAACACAACCGCAGCAGCAAAGAGCAGTAGCGTGCCAAGCGCGCACTTATTAGACACAATTCTGTCAAGCGCTTTGCTGAAGCGCGTCTTGCCCTGCGCGCGATACACCTCGGCGAGACGGCGCTTCTTGCGGGCAGACTGTAACGGCCGCAAAAGCAAGATCGCGAGCGCGCCGCTGCTCAGCTCCTTGCGCATGCACTCTACCGAGGACGGCTTCATGACGGCCTCCCGTGATCAAGTAGTACTGCCCGTCCCGGTCGCCTGCTCATGCAACTGCTGTTGTGGAGCCCAGAAGAGGCGTGTGTGCACATTTCTCTACTTGGGTTCTCGAAGACAGGTGTCACCGTGTGTGACGTGGAGCCGGATACCTGGTCAGACGAGCCGGATCAGGCAACGGACATTCAGAAATGTTCTTAATCAAAAAAACTTACACAAGCGAAATTGCGTCCCAATCGACTTTCAGAAAGTTCTGACCGGTCTACGAGCTCCATAGCTCGTAGACGAGTTAGAATTTTTTCTGAATCAATATGGCCAATGAGCTTGCGAAAAATCGACTCAGAATTAGAACTAGAATTTTCAGAACTAGGTTTGAGCACCACTAGTATATCTATACTGGCCTGTATGCTCTTCGGCGAGCCTTCACGGCATACAGAAAACGATCAGGACGGTCAAAAGGTGTCATCAGTGCAAGGGCCTGACGACAGCTTTTGGAATGCAGCCTCATTATTAAAGATGTACCGCAGGGCGTGGCATGAGATAGTCGGTCTAGTGGTCATGTTCGTGAATTCAAAGCAAGACCCGAGACGAAAAGAATTGATGTGTAGCAGCCAAGGTACGTCTCGTCTACATGGTCATTTTGCATATCCCCATACAGTGCGTGTGCGCATGAGGTCATCGATAATGAGAGAAAGCTCGTAATGAGAGTGTCGATACAGGGGGACTCGCAATAGTGCTGCTTTTGTTACTGCCTCCCTCGAATTAGTGCCGTCCAAGATTGGCAGACACGGGTCGTGCCATGTGTCACAGACGACGTCGTCACCTCTCTCTCCTCTGGTAAGGTTGTTTGGATCTTTGGAGAGTTTGGGTGTGCAGTGCGATGTGAGCAATGCTTTATCGCACTTGAGGTTTGCGAAACGAGCCTTTTTGGAAGATACGCATGAGAAGGAGGGTCGGAAACAACAACAGACTTCAATAACAGGGTTTTGGACGGGCAATGGTACTGTTGCACATGGTGCTCGGTTGCTTTGGAATCCGGATTACATTTGACACTTGGTCGGGATTTGTGGCACTACAACGTTTGAATGCTAACAGTTTTCATTGCTGGTGCAATGTGCTGACACATCTGCCGGGTGAACTGTTCACCGCGAGACCGCGATCAATTGCACTTTGCTTCATGGCTTGATGCAACCGTTCGGAAAAAAGATGACTTGGTGTTGGTGCTCTCCGTCGAAAAGACACGGAGAACCCGGCAGGAGTAAGGTATCTGGGAGTTCCTGGGAACCGGGTACATAACGGGAGGAGAATGAAATGGGGAGCGGGGAAGGGGGAAAGGAGGGGTGCACCGGCGTCTGAGTTGTCGCTAGTGTTGCTGTGGGTGCTGTTTCTGTTGTCTGTTGACTCCTTCTGTGTTCCGTCGTTGACACTGCGGCTGTTTGCTCGCAGTACGGATGCTTCCTGTTGTGTTTGTTGCTGGTGGGCAACTGTTGTTGCGCATTAGGTTTGATTACGCGCTGTTTGACTAAACTGAGTGCATTTGTTTTTGCTTTGTAACCATTTCTGTGTCTCCTGAGGACAGATCTTGCCTGATTTGTCCAGAGAGCACTTTGTACTATCCTGCAGATAGCGCTTGCAGGTTGTATCTGCAACAGTACCCTTCCTCAAGGGGGCAATTTGGTATTTATTTTGAAGGAGCCATTTTAGACAACACGTAGTATCGCATGAGGGGATGAACCGCTTCAAATACAAGCCGTGAGGTGTCCCGAAGCCGTGTGCGTCGAAAAATAGCGGGCAAAATCGACCATTCGGAAGCCCCTTACTCATCTACAACACATGAAAACAGCACTGAAATCAGGAAAAGGGGCAATTTGGTCATTTTTATAAGCGGGAAAGTGATAACAGAGAATCCGCAATCTCTACGTCGCCTCCTCTTTCCATTCTGAAAGCTTCCTTTGAGAGTATAGAGCTCATTGCCGACCCGTACTTTGCTGCAAAAGACGTACCGACAGCCTGACGGGTGGCCATACGCGGCGCATCTCCCTGATTATTCTTCTCTTCCAACTTTCGAGGAGCATTATCTTGTGTGACGCATCTCAGTGCAGGTCTGCCTTCTCTTTCTGTCTTTTTCTCCTCTCTACGAACCTTTTCGGCATTTACAGCATTCTTTTACTTTCTGCTTTCAACCATTTAGTCTAAGGTCAAATACAGTGCCGACGTCCCTTTTTGAAGCTCAACCTTCTTTCCACGTCCTGGCTGCCGACATCTCGTCTTTGCGGGACCCGGACTTGGCATTAGAATTTTGTTTACACTCCTTGTCTTGCTCAGGAGTATTTCAGAATCTCCAATGCCTGTTACGGGGTCTTTTGCCGACGCTTGAAACTTTTTGAAGGCGGCCAAAAGTGTGACTGTCGCTGTTCCAAGTGCGGTTTGCCACATTTTCTCCAGCTTCTTTGCTAGCCGTTGCGCCATTTCCAAGGGGGGCTTGCCTATCGCTAATGAACCTGTCCAGAAAAGGATAGTTCATTGGCCATAACCCTGTCTTTTTGAAGCTTAACTTGATGCTTTCAACGGTGATAATACTGTAAGCCAACGCAGCAACCATCAGATTAGCTCGCAAAGTTCGCATGTCAAGTGTTTTTGCTTGCGTAAAAGGTCTCTAATAGAGACCTTTTACGCAAGCAAAAAAACATATACTATATGTCCGCATGCTCTTTTTAAAAGACCTGTTGACGTCTTGGTCACATGGCTGGAGAAAATGCGTCGTGTTAGAAGGGGATTGTACAATTTCGCAGTTTTTCTCCATGCACATTTGCAACCACTCGTACCCTTCCCGAGACGAATGTCCGTCCAAAGTCATGCAATACGGCAGGACAGGAGCCACCTTTCTTCCTAACAAATCTGTCTACATGCTCAATAACAAAAGATATCAAACACTTTTCCATGCTTCCCTTGTCGGAAGTCATAATTTCTGTTCCGTTCTCCCACCAATGTTCCGTAAACAAGCGGATTGTTTCTTGTGAATGGTTAATTATTTAGACGGGAATGAGTGGAGCGAGCCATCCACTCATGACGTTCTTGCCCTCCACGATAAAGAAAGGTGGAACCTTGCGTCCAGATGCAGAAATGGCCACTACAACGGTCATGTATTTGTTTGTTGTTTTGTCTCGACAGGCGAT